TGCCATATGGAACTCTTTCCAAAAAAGTAACATCCTCAAAAATGTTCACTGGACCATAAATGGTTGGTTGAGAAAAAAGCAAAAAAATTATTAATGGCATCCAGTCAAACTGGATCTTTGCCTCATGGGTCAATGCTTAGACCTTTGCTTTTTCTTATTTATACTAATAATACTGATAAGGGCAGGATTATTAAATTAATCATGTTTGTTGCTGATACTAAACTCTTGGGTATTTCTCACTATATTGAGAATGCTGTGATAATATAGAATGACCTAAATCAATAGGTAATTTGGATAAATATTGGTATATGAATGTACATGAACTGTATTAAATGCAAGGTAGGGCCCTGGCTTTATCATAACGTTAATCATGTTTAATATTAATCCATCCATAGTGTGACTAAAGAAAAGAATCTTGGCATAATGGTAGGAAAGTCACACAAGGCATGAGAGTGATATGTTGCTAATAGTAAAGGTAAGAATAGGCTAATATTGCACATTTTTGGGCCACTAACAATCTGTATGCCCAAATTAAAGCCACAGGTACAAAGCTAAGAAAGGTATTGTTAATTTCAGCCATTATGGATATGTTCTGAAATAATCCCTTGCAGTTTTAAGCATTTTGTTGAGGTTATTGTCCATTACACAGGTATTCAAATTTTTACTACTTGTTTAATCACTTCAGTAGGCTTGCAACCATGACTTTAAACATGCCCAACTTTAACAACACAAGCTTCACTGGTTGCAACACTACCAGGATTGTGTGATTATATACCTGTTTATCATTCCTTGAAAAAGTTAACATAAAAGCTATTGAATTTGTTCTTTCCAGTAATAATTAATAAAATATCAGCAGTTTTTATTTACTTTTGGTAGTAAAATTAAAAAAAATACAAATTCGTTCTTTTAAAAACTAAACATTTATATTTCTATAGTGTATCATTAACTGTTACCTCACCCTTTCTGCTGACAGCTTATCAAGAAACATGGTTAAGACAATAACATTAATACATGATCTACAAGTTTTTCCTTATGAATAATGCAGGTAACAATGAATCATTTACATGTAAACTCAACATTAATGGTTGCCACCAGATCATGGCTAGAAAAAAAATATGATTTTTGTGACCCTACCACTTAATATTAATAAATTTTATACAGAAAATAGAAACAATTGCTTTAGTTTCCTTCAAATAATTATTTTCTCAGCAACTGTGTTTCGACCTCAAATACATAATGCCTGAAGTATCTGAAGACAGGTGAATTACAGTGTGAATTTGATAAAGCATTAATTCTAAGAACCCATGAATGAAAGCAAAGAATATGTTAAAACATGTCAACCACACCACATCTGCGATATCCTGTACCAATAGGGCACTTTGCCCAATTCTAGGGCTCACTAGGACACAAACAGTGATATAAATTATAATTTATGTGTAATAATTAATAACACAATATTATTTAAGCTGAAAGTTGTAGCTATATGTTGTACATGCATTGGACATTTTGTAAATAAAGATTGTGGAATTTTAGGCATTCAGAAGATATATTTCTACAACATACTAAATGAAGTATAACACTTAAAAAACTGGCAATGACCACAGAATGTCAGTAAGGTTAAAGCTACATTCTAAAGTTTCCTATTTCCAGTCTGCATATTTTTAAAGCAGGCATAGGATTTAGAGTGGGTGGGGCTTATGTCCCAAAATTAGAGTGAAAGGTTTCCCCAAAGTATTTGAATATTAAGCCTTGCTAAGAGAATTTTATGATGTATTTATAAACATACTGAATTGAAATCAAAAGAGGTATCTATGGTATTTTTATCTAAGAAAACATACTGACCTAGTGGTAAGGTTTCAGAGAAGGGGTACTAGGATGATTCCGGGGATGGAAGAAATATCTTTTGGGAATAAGTTAAGATCTCCTTAAAGTTATTTTATCTGGACTAATGAAGGTTAAGTGTACAAGAGAATATGGAAGATCAACAGAATAAATGCATATGATTTCTTTGTGAAGTATTCTGAGAGCAACAGAATGTGGGGACACATGTTTAATATTTAAGAAAATGACAGACTAGGCTACAGTTAAGACAGTTTTATTTTTCCAACATGATGATTAACTTATGGAATGAGTCACTATTATTTTGCAAAAACTTAAAGGATAAATCAATAATTTCCTGAACAGAAAAAAAGTTTAAATTTTTCATGTTTCATTTTCACCAAAAAGTGTGTTGTCTGCATATGTTAAATTCAGTTTTTAAGTGGTCTTGGTATTTCCTCAGCTAAAAACAAAACTATGCTGGAATGACACAGCACAATTAGTAAACATATTTTATATTAAAATGTTATCAAGTTACACAACAAAAGCATCATGAATACCTGTTCCAATTGTTTTCTAAAATGAGTAATACTAAAAATGATTAACACATGCAAGGTTTCATTTGAGTATAATACATTTTTCTTCACTGTCAAAACACTAAACCAATATTTAATTACAAATGGGCATCACTTACACATTAGTTCTGAAGTTTATTTTGAGCTTCACTAACCTTTAATAATTCTTTCTGCAATATTTTTGTCTATCCTACAAATGTTATCTTCTCTCTTCTAATTACTTTGTACACATACATAAGTAACTGTCTGGCACTTAAGTTGAACATTTTTTTTAGGGGTAGAAGTCATCTTCAGCTAAGACAGGGTGGTTGGCTTATGGAATGGGTTGCCTTCTAATGTTGTGGAGACAGTAAATTTAAGTGAGTTTAAGAAAAAGCTTGATAAGTATATGAATGATAAAGGTTGGGCTTTAATATTTTTTAAAAAATTTATTTATTAACAGTTTTGGTTTAGTTTAAAGGATAGACCAATAGGTCCCATGTTGTCCCAAAACTTTATGTTATTCCTCTACTTTTAACTTAGGATAAGACATTCAAATTCATTACAAAATCTCACATAATAAAAATATATTTAATCAGCTATACTGATGACCAGGTTTATTTTTAGCTTAGCTCTAAGTGCATTATTTACTCCATCAGAAGTTATTACTCAGCAGTTTTTTTTGTTCCTAGAAACACAATGGCCACCAAGAATGAATTGCATTTATTATTTTGCATGTTCTTGATTGATTTGCAATAGAAAAATTGTGTCATTTTGTGACACATTCTGTTATATGCTATTTTGACAGTATACCAATGTATTTAACTCAGGCTAATATTGAACCTTAATTGAAAAAAATAAGGAGTTTGATATAATTTAAAGCATCCTACAATAACCTATAATATTCCAAAATAAAAGATACCACTCAAAGAAATATTTAAGACATAATACCTCAATCCCATCTTATTTCTCCTTCGAGTTCTATTATTACTTGCTTTTTTTTTTAAATACGTTATCCTTTTATATAACTTTCTCTTAACTCAAAGGCAAGACTTCCAAATATACATCTCCACATATATTATAATTATTAACTTCAGTATACATTCACAAAAATGTATACACACTGGACTCGGGGTTCTTTCTAGTGTACATTCCAACCTCTAACTAATACAGTTACATTTATGGAGATTTAGATAATGAAAGTATTTCAAATTTATTAAATTATTTTATCATAACTTTTACCTATAGAAACATCATTCCATTTTGTGTTCAGCAACTGACATGATAGTATTTCTGTACAGTAGAAACATATGTATTCTATATGAAGTCTTGAAAATAGGGATATCAAATTTCTCGAGTGAAAAAACTGGGAGTTTTTTTCCCCTATATGGGATGACACTGTAACAGCTCTAAAACAATTTATATTGCAATAACATTTTCAAACATTTGTTAAATAATCTGATATTTATCGCACCTCAATTTGTTCAATCTGGTAAAACTTTAACTAGTTAAAAAACAACACAGATTTATGCTGTCTTGAAGCTTTTTAAAAGAAAAATGCTTATTTTTTTTTACAGCTGAGCAGGTCTTCAAATCTCAATTCCTGCAGCTGCCCAATGAAAGATTAAGAAAATGTAACAGAGGGAAAACTGTACATGTAATGACTTTAAAGAAGCAGTATATAATGACAAATTGTACATATCAAACTCACAAGTCACTGATATACTTGGACATTTCAATGCTTTCACTGTTTCACAGAAAAAATAAGGCAAAAACTGGTATGATCCCAGTTTCACTGGGATGTCTGGCAAACCCTATGTGTAATGAATAAAATATTAAATGTTACAAGTTTTCCATTTTGTTGCCTCACAGTCTTTCTCTGTGTGAATGATATATATATATCACTGATAGTGATATTTACATGTGTATCATTTTCTCTTTCTTAGTTAATTTTTCTAAGTCTGGACAGTGGACCTGTTAAGATTGTGATGAATCATGACTACCAACTTGTGACCACAAAATTCAAATTAGGTTTAACCTTTTCACTCGTATTTTAACAGTGAAGTTGCGTTTTTGATTACTGGATTATTCTAAGCCTACTATTGGATATTACTATCAACGCCATAGAACTTTAATCTAGAACTTAGAGGTAGAAGGAATTGTGTTACGTTACTAGTATGGTATTTAAATTTAAGATGTAAAGGTAAAAATCAAACTTTTATTACCATTGGAATTAATTAATTCGACTTTCCACAACAAGTTATTATTAATGTTAATGATAAAAGGCTAAAAGCTTTATTAATATTATATAAGCAAATAAATAAGCTACGTTTAGTAGTTAACCTATACCATACGCTATAGCATGGCTGTAGGAAATGCGTCTGTGACTACGTGAAATGTTACACAAATTCAGACAATTTAACTTTTCAATTTAAGATAAAAGCGTAAAACTATAACTGCTGTAGCCAATGCGCTAAGTTGATCGATATCTGGCATTTGTAGTTTTAACATGCTAACTCTGTAATTTAATTTGTAACAGTTAACATTAAAGATAATATTAACAATGCTACCGGAATTCAATTCTCTCATATTCATAGTCAACAAAACCGTAAACGAAAAGTGTCTTCTATAACACATACACGAACCCATAACTAAACTTATCTCCCCTACAAACTTAAGTCTTGTCTTTCCTACCACAGGACTGTACCTAAATTGGTTAAGGGAAGAGGAAAGGGTGGCAAAGATGAAGGACCGTACCAAGAGGACAAAAGGCAATGTGGGTGGAGACACTGAAGGGGAAGATAGTTCAAAATTAAACGCGTATGAATATCAATTGTATCACCTATATTTTTTTAATATCGTTAATTATTCTAAAAATTTGACAACCTACCTTGTTGGGTGTCACTGATTTGATCAATTTTGGTCTTTAATTTGACTGAAAATACTCTGGCACTCTAGTTCACCCACCTCACAAATACACTTTTCAATCACTACGCTTTCTCTCGTTTTACACGAGAATTGAATATGTCAATTTGGCAAGATGGCGCTATTGAAAAAATAAATAAAGAAACATCATTCATTGTTATTGCAAAACTTATGTGCTGCATGAAGTTCCCCCAAATTTTCTCACAGAAGGGGGTTTATAATATAAAATCAATGTGTTACTTGGATGAAACGGTAATCACTCGCATACATATGAGTTAAGGACAACAATGGACATATTGGTCTATCTAGGCCGTTTAATAAACTAAATTTCAAAATAAAACCTTCAAAGCCAGTTATTATCATTCAAGTATTTATCAAATTTTATCTTAAACTCTTTTAAATTAATTCCATCCATCACATCTTAAAGCAACTTATTACAAAGGTCAACCACTCTGTTAGAAAAATAAAGCTATCTTATGTGAAGATGAC